ATGCAATGCAATGCAATGTAATGTGTAATGCAATGCAATGCAATGTAATGTAATGTAATGTAATGCAATGTAATGCAATGCAATGCAATGCAATGCAATGTAATGTAATGCAATGTAATGTAATGTAATGCAATGCAATGCAATGTAATGTAATGTAATGTATGTATGTAGGTATATATATATATATGGAGGTTGCCAAAGACATAAAAATACACCAAATCAAGCCATTAGACCAAACGATAGTATTGAAACAACCAAGGTGATATGGGCCCATGTTCAGAATCCCCGTTTAATTTAACTAAGATAACTAAGGATATTGCGTATTTCAAAGGGTTGGAATGGTTATTACTATTTAGGAACTGGGATGATCCCGTGGTTGGAGCGCTTCGGCCTTAAAACTGGTAAAGTGCCAAGATGCAGCTGAAAATACAACACGGGCAATATTTGGCCTACAGGTTATATATATATACATGTATACATATGTATGAGTTATATATTTTATATATATATATATCAGTTATAGGTTATAGTTATACGTATATATATATATGTATGTATATCTAGAGTGTAAACCATTTACTCACAATTTGGGATGCACATTCCATGGGTCCAAGTTTCCCTAGTTGCCTGCTGGATTGGTTATATACTGACGACTGACTACCTCATTGGGGGATGATGATACCCCATGGGAAAGCTAGAAAAAACAACGAGTATTTCATGAGATGGGATAGGCGTATATTCAATGGCTCACATGTTAATGTTGGGTTTACCAGAGTGGATATATACCCCCTGGTTATGACTAACATAGCCATGGAAAATCACCATGCTATTAATAGGTAAACCATCTATTTCTATGGGCCATGGCTCAACCATGGCGAACTGTTAGTCATAACCAGATGGTAACCATAAGATCATTTGGTGGAATCTATAGGGACCCTTAACTGTCTGGGACAGTTCCAGTTACTACGCGGATAACAACAATGATGTTTTTCACTCAGTAAAA